AATGATGATTTTTATCTGCAAGTATCAATAAAAGCTGATGACATATCTACACTGACGAATGAAGGCCCTTGAATATCAATGTCCTCCAGGCTTCCTGTCCGATAAACGTGTTCAGAAATACACTGGAAGCCCAACACTCAAAGTGTCATTCTGGTTGCAGCCTGGTGCATGTGAACATGCAGAATTCACGGCCAGTAAAACAGTGGGAGGTGAAGAATAGCATCTGTGAAAGATAACTTCCAGGGCTGCTGCCCCCCTCTCCCCCGCACCCTCCACTCTACCAAACGCACACACACACCTCATGTTCCTGCTTTCCCTCTATACTTGCTCACTCACCCCTAACACACACACGAAAGTGAGGCTCTTAATGGAGTCATCAAAGGTAAAGCTGAGAGCTCAGGCTATAGTTCAGAGAGGCATCTGGACCGGCGACCCAACAGAGAAGGCAAGAATGCCAGCTAATTACAATGACTGCATGTGTGTGTGTGTGTGTGTGTGTGCTTTGCTAGATGCAAAAAGCACATAGAAAAAATAGGAGAAAGCTACACATGACCAACCAAATAATATTTATACATGTCTGTGCATAATATTTTTGGTGTAAAATAATAGGATTTCTTAAGCCCACAGCGGTTGCCAACCATGCAAACCACAACAGTTGGTAAACAGGAGGCTGTCTTTATGAAAAATGTGTAAAATGCAGACAAATGTCACAGCACTTTTCTTGAAAACATAACTCCTGCCCTGTCAAAGCCGTTGAATGTTTTGACAGAAACTGGCAGCTTTGGCACTTTATCGTGTTACAAAGTCAACTGCATGAAAAGAATGGCCAAATCTCAGGTGGATGGGGTTTTTGTGTGCTTTCAGTCCAACCACAGTTAACATCAGAGTGAGTTTCTGCAGCCTCACTCACAGCTGCTCATAAATCTATGTGACAACTCACTGGGGCTCTTCTGCATGTTAAAGCTATGGGACACTATGTGGAGGGGAATGATGAGCCATGCTGATGAAACTTGACTCCGTGTCGTGACATCTGATATTTGATGCTCAGGTGATGTTTGGTTTGATTTTTTTGTTTTTATCTCCTGGTTTGTTTTGTTTTCAGTTCCTTAGACGGGTATCAAATAACACACAGTGTGAAAGGCTGTGTGGCGCTTTGTGAAGACAATGTGATGTGAGTGGTTCTGTCAGGAAAGGAAATAAAATAACCACGGGGCACGAATAACTTCATACATTCAGTACCATTCCAATGTTCAAAAAAAACATATATAGAGAAAAAAACAAATTTCATGATGGAATCTAAATCAGAAAGATGTCTTCGGAATGTTTTTTTTTTATTATGAATTTTTATAATGCAGATTCCAAAAAGGAAATTGAGGTTGATGTAGAACCTCCCTGACTTGACTGGATGACTATCTGAACGTTGCAGAGCTTTGAATATAGGGGGCATGGACCGAAATGTGGGCCTTAACTTGCCTAAAGTCGTTCACTGATTATGATTCAAGTCATAGGAGAAGACATAAAGAAACATCCATGGTTTGTTTTGTATGAAGAAGAGACAAAATTTCACTCTTATATTATGTTTGCATGAGATTTGCTAAGTAGGTGCAATATCTAAGATGACTTCAAAATACTTAAATTGCATTAGCTGTTAGCAGTTGTTGGTAGTTAAGATCATTATGTTTGCATGAGATTTGCTAAGTATATATATATTATTAAAACAAAGAATATATTTGCTCACAAAGGCAGTAATATTTGGTGCATTTCACTGCTTGTCTTTTGTTTGTTTTTACTTTTAAGTTTAATCTCATTTTGGTTTTACTCGCCTGGCTGTTGGTGGTGGACTACGTGTAAACTTTCACAAAACAGTAAATCAAACATGTTGTAAGTCACTCTACAACTGCACTGTCACAAATAGTAAAACGATCTTAGTGTTTAGACCTCAACTGATGCAAATCAGATGATACGTCCGAAAACAATAGAAACAGCCAACACAATTTCCTCATGAATTTATTTTGTCAATGTGGCATTGATTTTTACCAATTTTGAAAATGACAGAGGTATGGCTGTGGTTGAACAACGGCAGAAAGTCAAGAATGCAGCTTTGAAAATGAGAGAACCCCAAACCATGCTTTACTACGGTGATAAAAGTTCATGACACCGACCAGTCTGCAAGTGACAGTACTTCACAATACCAAACTGTAGACACACAGTAGAGGCGCTCACAGCTGGTCGCTGCACCGAGGTCACACTGTGAACAACTGCTGTATAATCTTCAAAAAAAAAGCCTCTAGATAAACAGTGGAAACATTTTCACAACCTCTTCTAACCTTTAGGTTCAGCTGGAGTCATGCTGACCAGAGGGGCCAGCAGGGAGTGGATGGGAGGTCTCTGTGTGCATGTGTGTGTGTGTGTGTGTGTGCTTATGAATGTTTTGTATTTCAACTCAAATATACTTGGGTTTGATATTTACAATATCAATGTGGATATAATTCTATGGCTAATGTCTGGAGTTGATTTTATAAAATCCAAATTGCTTTAGATGGCTGAGTGTTGACATGGATTACTGCTGTGGCGACCCCTGGTGAGGAGATTACTACAGATCATGGCTATAAAGGGTGGGATTTAACTGATGTCATTTTAAAGCTGCAATCACCGTAGCTTCACTTTGCTTGACTAGAAAACTTTCCCCCAGAGAGTGGACTACAAATATGGGCCACATTCCTCGAACAGAGATCCAAAACATGGCTAGAATTGCCTGCAATTTATGGATCTGTGTTGGCTGAACAACAGAGGTTGTGCCACTGATGATGGGGCAGAATAACCAACACATGGAGGAAAGTGTTCTGCTCTCTGTTCAGTGTGAACAGACACCAAGAAGCAAGAAGCAAAACCAGAGAAAAATAGTTTTGTTTCAAAGCGGACAAACTCAGTCTGGCCCAAATCAAACTCTGGAGGTTTTCACTTTTATTGTAAACATGGTTCAACCTTGATGTGATGATGTTTACACCACAGACCTAATCTGAACAGCTCCAAAACCAAAGTGAGCTTTTCATGCTGAGAAGTCTCCAAAATTCTAACACCTTGCGTTAGAGCAGAGACAGCTTCAGTGGAAATCTTCAGCCAAGAACGCAGGAGTGTTCTGCTGCAGCCAGGGACGAGAACCAACACAACAAACACAGAATGATTCAATTTAAACCTTAGAAACATTCATTCCATCTCTATACATTAAAAGGCCGTGTACAGTGAAGTCTTGGGCAGATTTCCATCACCTCTAGGGTCAACGATGACTGTGGTGATTGTTACAAACACAGTTAACGACAGAGTGGTCAGTACTACGTAGTTAATGTTATACTAGTTTTTGTCAAGAGTGCAGAAGTGTCTGTATTTTTATGAAGGTCAGCTTTGTGGTTTGGGTTAACTGCATAGATATCTGTGTGTTTGACTTTTTTTTTAAAGCAAAATGTTCTCTTTTTTTGCCCAGTTGCACAGGTGTTTACTCTTGGCAGTTTGCTAAAGAAAATATCCGTGTTTTATATTAAGACAATTCATAGTGATGGGACAACTTTCCTGTCCTAGTGACACAGGGCAGCCTCCTGTGTTTCTCCAAACCTTTACCATAAACTGTTGCTGCCATTTAAGCTCTTTGTTGCAGCCCAGCCTTTTAAGTCCAGATGGGCTTCTTGTACCTGGTAAAGGGGCAATAAAGGAGGTCTGTGCTGGGTTTTTTTTTTTACAAAACCACATCTAACGTAAAAGAGGAAACAGGATTTTAAACAGGTGTGTGTGTGTGTGTGTGTGTGTGGAGTGGCTTGTGCTGCTGCATGGACTGTTCAGACGTGTCAGCTGTGGTGTGTTAACAACCTGATCTGTGGGAGTAACAGACTCACTGTAACCAGCTGAAACCATGGACAATTAGCTGCAGAATTGTACCTCGGTCAGTTGACCAAACACTTAAGCAAAGGTTCTGTAACAATCGCGCCATCAAAAGATCTTCCTAATTAATACTGTGAAGACAGAAAGCTAGCAGACGAGTGGTATACAGTCAACAGACACAAATGTGTTCACAGCCTTCAACAAAATCAAAGAATTCCAAACCTAATCAAAACTTCAATGGTACGTCTTCCAGTATTTACAGCTAACATATTTTTTGTAGGACATATTCTGGTCATCACCGGATTCATATCTTATTCACTCCATTGCATTAGGCTTGAAAAAAGGGTTTTACTAATCGGCTCCAAACCCTGATAGTTTTATGGCTTGGTGTTAGTGACTTTAGGATGAGAGAAGAAAGGGCCGCTGACCACAGCCTAAATCAGTAATTGGTTCAGGCTTGAAAACTGATACAGATGCCTTGACCTCTTGCCAGTCTGGCAGCCAAAAAGCCTCTCTCCATCCTGTCTGTGTGCCCGCCCGCCTGCCTGAGCTCCCCTGGTCAGAAAAACAAACAGAAGGGAGAATTTTTCTTTCCTGGCTTACACCTCAGTCCACATCATTCCAGCACGCAGCCCACAAGCTAACAAACAAATGAACTGGGGGTAAGAGGCTGGTCTGAGGTCTGACAGGCTGACGGTGGAGGAAAAGAGCAGACAGGACTGGGGTTCACTTGTTTGAGGAAAAACATGTTTGGCTGTATTTTTTTAAATTTCTTTTTATTATTATTTTGGACCACAACACATTTATTGCATGCAAAAATCCCTGCAGATAAACAAATGTAAAGTGCAACAATGCCAGGCCTTCTGCCAATGTTTTCTTGGTAACAAGACTAACATTTGCGTGAATTTTAAAAAAAGTTGTGTTTGACGTGTTTGTTTAAAATGTAACACTTCCCTATGGTTTCCATCAAAATGACCATGAATGAACAATGAAAATAATGAAATGCAATGCTGCACAACTGTAAATATTTGGTCTGGTATAAAAATGTATGCACTGGAAGTGAATCGCAGCACCTGATCCACTCTGAGTTTTGATGTGTTTATCTCCATGTTCCCCTGCTGCATTAGGTATTCTGGAGATCAAGTCAGTGGACGTGGGAGTGGTGGTTATCAAGGGCCTCAGCAGTAACCACTACCTGGCAATCAACAAGCGGGGTCTGCTGTATGGGGCGGTGAGTAGCACTTTCACAGAGGTCTTTTTATGTCAGGCATATATGGGCCTGGTTAATCTGAAACTTCCTCTACTCACCCCCTAAACATCAGCACTATGTCCTACGAAACTACGAAAGTTCTGCTCAAGAGTCAAAGTTCTGTGAAGTACTCGATTCCAGAAACAGGAACCAATGCTAGTTGGCGTGAGCTCTGCTCTTTGCTACGTACCTAACTTTACTCCCCTTCTCCATTCAGAACCAGGAAATACAATCCCTAGTTTCTCTATTCTACATCAGTCCCTCTGGGGAGAGTGACCCTTGTTTCATCCGTTTTCTCTCCCTTCTCCCACCTCTGTTCTTCATCCCATTCTCTCCCACCTTTCCCTCCCTCCCCCTCTTTTCCTTCCTTTGAAAGGACCCAAACTTTTAGAGTGTCTCTCTGGAGAGATGAAATGACACACGATAGAGAAAAGGGAGAAAAAAGAGGCATTCTGTTGCATGGCCTGAAACTGAATTCCCATGACGTCTTCTGCTCTGTGCAACACAAACCACAGTAGCGCCGTGGAGAAGGGCGAGCGTTTGATTACATTTGATGGCTTTACACAGTGACTTCTTTATCCTGTGGTATTCAAATGCAATCTTTGTCTCATTAGATGAGCAGATTAATACATGACAGGTCCGTCAACCACCAACTGAAGTCTGGACGTCTGATTGTGCACAAGGGTTAAAGTCAAACTTGCTACTACAGACTTAACCACAGATGTTCTCTAATCTAACTACTACCTGAAGAGAGTTTATTGACAAATCAAACAAATCACACCAAAGCATTTGACAGCAAAAGATTCGATTCATTCCCCTCTTTACTGACAAATACAACACTGTCGTTTCATTATTTTTCTCATTATTATGAGTTTCCCTTCTTGAATATGCTTTACTAACCATTTTTACATTAAAAGCAAGCAGCAGGGTTGTTTGAGAAACTGTCTGTCGTTCTGCTCCGGGTACGTTTAGTTTACTTCTGGAATCAATTTGAACAGCTGTTATTCAGAGAGGGGGAGATTGAGGAAGATAGAGACGGGTAGGGGATAAGAGAGAGAGAGAGAGAGAGAGAGAGGGCGAGAGCAGCGCCAGTATGATTTTGCTTATAAGAATATTAACAGCAGACAGTCAACTGTTTGTCCAAGCAATGCTAGCCTTAAGCACAAGCGCAGCTTTCAGTTAAAGGACAAATGTGACTTTCAAATCATTTCCTTGTCATTTTCCAGTGGGTGGCCACTGCACTAATGCAACCCACATACATGGGGTTCAGATGCTCCATGCTCAAACCATGCAGCAACTCTTTCTAAGGGGTTGTGTGCATACGAAGGGGGGCTGAAAAGTGTGACCCCAAACTATGTTTCTGCAGAGCTGCGTCAGCTCATCCGGTGAAGACGATTCACTACATTTAGCCATTTAAAACATCGTTTATATCCATGTTTTACATATGTGAGGCATATTGCTCCTATTACAACCAAACAAGTCTTACACTAAGATTAACTCCCATCTTCATCCCTGATGTTAAATGCCTTCAAAATACTGACATTGTTGACCTACTTGAATTACCTGCCCATGAGTTCCATGAGACACTGAACTGCAGCAGGGAACCACACAATAGGCTGACTGGTGGCGGCGAGAAGCCATCATGTTATTGGCAAAATCTGAGTACAGGTACAGGGATCTGTGTTACGGGGTAACACATAAAAACATCAGAAAAGATACAAATACCAGTAATGATATCATTAGGATATCGGAAACAAAGAAAGAAAACAGATATGTAAATATCAAGCAATCTGAATTCAAAACATGATCCTAAACAGAAAAGAAATGTGGAATAATAAGATCAAAGTTCAAATTCAGAATTAAGATCAATTCCACACACAAGTAAAATTGGTGACTAAACGTGCTTCCTTCTGCCCGTTTCTCCTCACAGACGGAATTCGGTCCGGACTGTCGTCTGATTGAGCGCATCGAGGAGAACAAGTACAACACCTATGCTTCGGCGGAGTGGCGAAACAAGAAGAAGCACATGTTTGTGGGACTGAACGCCAACGGAAAGCCAATGAAGGGAAAGAAGACGCGGAGAAAAAACACAGCCACTCACTTCCTGCCCATGCTGGTACATCCCCGATAAACTGACAGGACTGTAGGCTGACAGTCTGGCCCTGGACTTAGGACAGTGATGGCTTTTATTGAAAAGATCTGAATGGGATCTTAATGATGCACTGATGAGGAAAAGAGTGGAAACCTAGAGACATTTTACTGTTGGATAAAGACATTTTTATTTTTAAAGAAAGAAATGAGATGTATTGGTATACAATGTATATATTATTTTCTGTTTTAAGTTATAAAGTACTTAGGCACAGTAGAAAATATGAAAAGAAACTACTTCTGTGCCAAAATGTGATTTAGTAATGCATATTTCTAGATTTAAATACAAGTGAAGCCTTTGATCGAAAGAAATGAGACTGGTGAGAAAGTAGTGATGGAAATAAATAATATGACATAGAGAGGAGGAGGCTCTGACAAATCAGCAAGTCTAATGCTATGATGTTTTTCTTTGAATTTATTTATTTGTGTAATATTTAACAAAAACACACTAAGGACAGCATCTTGTCTTTTTTTATCATTTACGCTTCTCTTTTTGAATACTAATCATTTAAACCTGAATAAATATATTTAAAAAATATATTTTTAGTTGTGTGTCTCTTTTTTTGTGCAATTTCACTGACTTGACTTCACTGTAGGAACTACTGTAAACAGAAAGTGAGGCAATCAGGTGCACCATAAAATAATAGATTTGGAAATGTTGTTTACATCATTACATAAGTGGGTAATAAACATCAATAACAAAAATACTTACACAACAAAATTACATTAAATAGGCCTTTCACTTAGATGACTAATGTACTGTAACATTCCCATTTTTTAAAAAAGCTTTTTTTTTCATTTTTAAACCATATTCTTCCACATCTGTCAAGGTTCAGATATAAGCAGCTGGCTTGGGTTTCCTAACCTTGTAAAGCATGACACATTTAAAAAAAAAAAAAAAATTGAGCGTGGTGTTTATGAAACATTTTAATGCAATGATTTTTAAAATATGTTTTGTTCATGATATATTTTTGGTCTATCTTTGAGACGTGTTTTTTTTTTGCCCAACATTTTGAACACATAGAACACCTGAGGTAGTTTTTCCTCTTTTAATCTTGTGTAGCAAATACGATACAAATGGTTTTCCTCACCTCTACTTTATAGCATATCTTACCTAATTTTTTTTTAGACTACCAGTATATTGTATGAGGTTTACCATATTATCAAAACAAAAAATGTTTTCTTTATGTATCATGCTATGTATGCTATACCTATATGAATCCTGCTAATATTATGGACAAGCAAAAAAGCATGCTATGTATGTTATACTTATATGAAAGCTGCTAATATTATGGACAAGCAAAAAAGACTAGTAAAGTAAAAGCATGAAAAGTATAAATGTTAGTGTGAACCATTGATCTCTATATGTGGCACTGTGATGGAGAAGACAAACTATTGAGGTCCCCATTGTCGCCTGTTGACAGCTAGGACTGCTTGGCTATGGCTCCGTCAGATTAATAAATAAATCAAAAATAGGGCTGCACAATTAGGGCCATTACTTTTATCAATACTTTTTATTGTACTTTCTATTTTAAACAAACCTTTTAGATGAAAATAAAACCTCGTGAAAAATAAATATGGCATTTACTAGTTTGACTGTAGGATTATTTGGGAATTGTGATTATGATTAAAATTTGATTCATTGTGCAGCCCTAATTAAAGGGAACACATTTTTAAAAAAACGTTTTGTTTAAAGTATTTACAGTTGTGATTTACTAAACCAACACGGAATCTAAAGTCTGTAAGACATGAGGCATTTGAAAAATGCCCAACAGACCTCCAGGTTGATGAGATCAGGGCGTTTAAAAAGAACCTCTTCCTTACAAGTACACAAGGCAAACATGGCTTCTTACAGCGTACACACAAGCTTTGAATGCAATAACAGAGACAAAACAGGCTTCAGAAATGGCCGACACACATAGACACATGCACCAGGGTGGCTGGGTAGAGAGGTGTGTGTGCATCAGTGTGGTCTAACAGCTGGAAAAAGCCTCCTCCTTGACCTTACTTGTCTGAAACCTGTTGCTGCCTCCCCCCACCCCCCCAAGAAAGAAAGACACTTGGAGCAGGGTGCCCCCCCCTCCAAGAAAGAAAGACACTTGGAGCAGGGCATGTGGTGTAACATAAATATCACTCTCTTGTTTATCACCTGATTGCAATTAACTATGATGTCATGTTTTTCTTTATTCCTCACTCCCTTTCCCTTAACTCGGGTTGTTGCAGTCCAGACCCTGTAATCTTTACTCACACCTCCTTCCACCTGTTTCTTTTTCTCTTTGTCATGTCTCTCTAAAGTTGAGACAGACACCAGAAATCAGCAGGATCAGAAAGAGAGCAAGGTTATCGCTCTCGTACACACAGACAAAATCGCAGAAAAAAGAGACACTCAAACACACACATGCATACATACATATATGCATACAACCCTCCCTGTGCCCAGGGCTGCAACTGTTGCAATTTGTTCATTATATCCATCACTTTCAACTCTCTGCCATCTGTTTCTCTGTGTGTGCTTTTTTTTTTTGCGTTTGAGAGAGCGAGAGAGAGAGAGAGAGTTAATTTCCGAGTATGATGGAACCCTCCAGAGTCAGTCTATCCCACTGTGTTTATTACAAAAAGGTCCTTGATCCTCTTTCTATGCTCAGGAATCCTCAGTGTCTCGAGCTCATGTCAAAAAGTGAGTAAGTATGATGCATCAGGGGGATATTCAAATTTCCTTTCATCCTCCCGGGGCATCTAGGCCTTTGTTTATATGATTACTTGGGTGTTCTGTAAACGACATATCAAGTACTATTACCCAGAAACGTGTTTGAGACACTGATACAACCCAGTCTCCCTCCCCTCATAAAGTTCAAGGCCTGGCATTGCTGTGATGAGATGCCTTGGATATTGGTGGGACAATCACAAATCTAAATATGTAAAATCCAACTACTTGTATTGGATTGTGTCAGCTTGTGTCTGAACTACATTGCATCTGAGGTCCAGTTAATGGAGAAAAACTTCACATCACTCCAGCAGAGAGGAGTATATCTAGTGTAGACCTCTTGGAATGGTCTGATGTATTTTTATTGCAACTTTAACATGACTTAATGTGCTCTTGCCTTTACCCATAATACATAACAAGGCCAGACTTTAAAAGCATGGCATTTATTAAAGACAGATGTTTTACACTGATTATCAACCCCACAGACATCTGAGTGGGTCTGCTCAGCAGCACCCAGCCACATGTCGTTTTCTCCCATTTCTGCAGCACGCCTAACATGTTCCTAAAAACTGTTTGCCAATGTCATTTCTTACTTGTTGTGCTTGGGTCTGTTTGGTTAGTGTTTGGTTTGTTGAGGCATGTGGCGAGGCCCAGTATGCGGTTTCTATTTTGACTACATTCAGGATCTATCGGACCTGTGTCGAACCTCAAATGAAACATACACCATTGGCTTCACACGTTCACAGCTCCTCTGTTTGTTCAGAGAGTCTTGTGGCCGTGCGACCTGACCGCAGCAGCAGCTGTGAATATTTAACATCCCGGGGAGAGGAGGGAGGGAGCCAGGGAAGAAGGGAGAGAGGGAGAGTGCACGCGTTTAACAAGAGCGGGGTTGCAAGCTTTGAATGAGTGGGTTTGGAAGGGAGGTGAATAAGTGAAAGACTGCAGTCCTGGGGGCATTTACGGCAGTGGGGCGAGCAGGCTGTTTGCAGAGAGGGCAGCACTGAGGAAGGGATGCCAAAGAAATGAGGGGAGTGAATGGTTGAGAGGAAGACGGGGTGAAGGGGGCGATTAAAGGAGTTGCCAGAAAATTTGAAGATGGAGGGCAGGGGATTATTTGAAGAGGTATTTGCAGAGGTAAAGAGGGTTGGGTTGGCCTGGGGCAATCACTGGATAGAGACCAAGGGAGTTCCTGGAACCAAAGGAGGTGGACAAGGAGTTCTCCACTCATGTTCTGTACTGGAAATCGAAGGTCCTACCAACAGAAGTTAGTGGCCATAAATGGTAACAACCATTAAGTTTAAAACAAAAAAGGGGATTTTTTTTTTCCTCTGGCCTGAGGTCGAGGTCTTTACAAACCCATGCTGGTGTTTGAGCTGGAGATGGTAAAGTTTAGCAGTGTTACACGCACAAGTTGGCAAAAATTGGATACATATTTCACCTATTTAGGATAATGGATAATGATTTATTTTGTCAGCCCTAACGGTGATAGTCATCAGTAGTACTATTGTGTGGAGAGTATTCAGGCACAGTGTTTTAGCAGGGGAGCAACTGTCACCCTCCCCTACTCCTCTTCCACCTTCACAGGTTCCTTGACACAAGCACCTATAACATTAAACTTTTCCACAGCTTTCTCTACCCTGTGCAGGATAGACCTGTACCTGGAGCACAGCCTCAGTGCCAGCTCCATCATTACATCTCATGAGAGCTTCAAGTTTCCTATAACAGGTGGCTCAAACATTTAACTTGGCCTGGGCTGAGGTGAGGCCTGTGTTTATCGATTCAGAAAGAGCAGGGAAAGTTAGGAGCAGGATGGAAAGATAAAAATAAAGACACAGTGCAGGAACAAAAACCGATAAAGCAGGCCTGTTGGCAGCAGTGAAAGGACACGAGGAAATCCACGTCACTAAAGTGGCTCATTTCATCTTAATGCATTTGGAGATAGAAACAAGAATGTAAACATAAATCCTGTCCTCCTAATATTTTATTCAAGGGTTTTGATAAAACTCAAATACATTTTCCAGAGAGCCAGAGCAAAGCCAAAAGCCCCAAAATAATCCTCTCCTTTCTGAGGAAAAAATAAAGTTTAAATGAGCTGTCAAATCTGCCTGAATGAATTAATTTTGCTTCGTCTTTTTCACCTCAGCTGGGTTTTTACCTCTCCTCTCCTTTCCTCACCTTTGCTCCTCCACCCTTCTACCCTCGGAGGAATACGCCTGGATTCTAAATGAAAATATATTTGTTGTTTTCGTTGGCCTCCGCTGGTGTAACTCCACTGGCATGATTCAGCCGTAGACCCAGGGTCGCTGGAAGCGGCTGTGGCAGCAGAAAGCCTCTATTAGTCCTTGATCACTGGCTGCCTGACAGCAGAGTCAACATGCAAGGCATTAGGGCCTGACATGGGATCAAATAAAGGATAATTTATTGGGTGCCCATAGATGGTAAAACAAGATTAACTATTCCCTTTCCTCATTTTGTTTTTTAATAATTAAATTAGCTAAGATGAATAAAGCAGCTGATTAGATAAGGAAGAAAAGGATGTATTCTGCTCAAATGATATCGACGGCTGTCTTAGTTTCGTTGTGGTGACGCTTCATGTAAAACGTACATTCTAAACCTGATGAAAACTAAATAGAGGCCTGTTGTACAGATTAACCACTGGCTGCACGTACATGTGTTTTCACAACAAGGACACGGAAATACATTTGATTTAATTATTTTAACTGTAACTTTCTGTGCACGTGCTCATGAAATCATAAAAATGTGAAATGTGAAAACTGCCATTTTAAGTACCACAACACCAAACCATTT